CCTTCGAATCTCTTCACCAAACACTTTCCCTCGAACTGGCAGTAAACTCAACAATTATAAACCAAGATACTCCGTGAAACCCAACTTTTATTCGCATACATCATGAATTCTATTAAATCTAATTTTCCTTTAAAATGCAACGTCATACCACATTTTCCTTCTCTCAAATTTAGCATGACTACCACGGCAGTGGACGCCGGACAAGGCGGCCTCCTCGAGGTCGGCCTGACAACGAACTAGTTCAATTCGCCACAGCAACAACGGCGAAAAGAGACTGCACATCGTCTGTCCATCTTGTGGTAGAGTTTTTCATTTTCATTTCGAAAACCCCGACCTCAACGACCACATCGGAGCTGAAAGTACGAACCCGGGCGCTGGGTGTTCCCACTCAGTACAAGCAGTTGATTGAGGCGTCTTCAAGCATTCGCCTCCTTCGAGGGCCTCGAACTCGAGCACCATTCGCAATAGACGCTCGTGGCTTTCGACCACAACTGCCAGCTCCACCACAGCCTCGGACTGTCGTCTTTCTGCCCGCAAGACGTGGGCTCGATTCCGCCAGGTCGCTTTCGGACCGAGACGATCGCAGCCAGAGCGGTCGGCCAGGAGTCGATCAGGCGAGAGCAGAAACGGCCTGCATGTGGCCTGACGAGAGACCAGCAGGAAGTGACGAGCCGAGGCGAGAGGGTCGGACAGGAGAGAGGAGCAGTCGGAGATCGTGAGACAACGCGAAGGCAACAACAACAGCAAAATCCTAAATGAGCTGTTGGCACCCGCTGTGCGCTGCCCGCATCTCTCATGTCCTGGTGGTTGCGGTGCCTGCGAAAGTGTCTCTCTTCTCTGCACAATAGCTCCTCGGGAGGTCCATCAGCCTGACCAGCCCTGGCCTCCAAATCATACCCGCCTAATCGACTTCACACTCCGCCCACACAAGGGCCTACAATTGCATATAAGTGTGTGCGCGTTTGTGTGTGTATACGCAGAATTGAGTGGATGCTCAACAATATGCAGCCCCGACAACCTCAAATTGCTAAAACCCATTTGTCCCTCAGCAAGTCAGTTAAACAAATCCACCTTCTTGTGCTATAACCATTACTAATGGCGACTCAAACGCCTGCACATCCTCACACACATACACGCACCAACTTCGTCCTCGATATTGCAGGTTCACCACCAAGTGTCCTTTACTCAGACAAAATGCGATTGGAGTCCGAAAGACACGACTGCACCGACAAGCTCACGAGTGCTCTTCCAGCCAGTCCGTCACTTTCCCTCTTCTTCCTTTTAGCCTCAGCCAGTCTGCCTCCCTTCTCTCTCTCTCGTTCTCTATCTTTCTCTCTTCATCTTGTACCTGCCTTCTGTGTGCTCGGTCAATTTCACTTCGTCCCTCCGACCGTTATGACCAAAATAGCGTTTTGTCCAAGTAGCGTTTATCTGTTGCTGTTCACCCAAAGTCTGGCCACCAGATGGACCATTGCCAAAATCGGCTTCTCGGCCACTTTTTCTGTGGACTGAAGATGGCAAAAGGCGTAGCCAAATCAAATAAGACGATGTCGCGCAAAAGGTTCACTTTTCTCAGGAAATGTACAACTTTTCGAGGCCTCATTCGACACTGACAAACTGGAATCCGAGGCCTTTGCCAGACAGGCATCGGCAAATAATGGCCGACACCGAGCGCCAAGTCGATTGCTTGTAGAGGCCTACCTTGCATTTGAGGCTATTACCTTTTCAATAAAAGCTCTATTCGCTTAAGTGAAGGAAAGAGTGATAGTTGAATTTATCCACGATCCGATGAGTAGGCCTCAAGTCGCCTTGCTTTCAAAAAATGTATTCTTAAGCCCACGTAAAATCTAATTGAAACGTGAAACTATCCATCAATCATCATCTCATCTGACCTGGGACAACTGAAAGCTACTTTATACGAAAATTTTATTTAAATTGCAACCTAAGTAGTATACAAGTAGTATAGTATACTGTAAAAAACAATGAGTCTCCTGGGGCACCCTTAACGCCAGTCCAAGTAGACTGGCGCTGTTGGCTTTCCTACAGCCTGCAACAGTTGAGATTTGGCAGTAAACCGTCTTGTATAGTCAATTTGTACCTTTTCGAGATTAACCAGTGAAGTTCACATGTATTTGCGTTTTTGTTGGACTGGTTCAAATGGGGCTCGGGCTGATTTTGTCTGCTATGCTTTTTTTGCCGGGGGTGCAGGGACATGAGCAAAAGAGACGATTTCGTGTGCAGGGATAAATAATGCATTTTTTATGATAAACGCCAAGGGGGTGTGTTTTTATGAGTTTTACGATCAACTATTTAGTTAGCTCAAACGATACTAGAACGTACTGGGTAGTACGTGGAGCAGAATTCAAGTCTTCTATCGGCCTGGTTTTGTTTGATGCAAAAAGGGTGCCTCATTGGGGCTGGCAGACACGGACTTTATGTTCATTCAATAAAATGGTAAAACGGCAAACCCTGCCCAGACCGGTTGACTAGTCTCAGCCTCACCAGATCGGCCATCACTGACTCTGGCCGGTACCAAAAAGACAGCCGACACGACGAACTGCGTAACGCTGTCGACGCCCGCGGGTAGAGTCCCGCTAGCTCACATGCCCGCAATGTCGTTGTTTCGATTGACCCTATAGACTCGGAAACAGATGACCAGAAAGACACAAAGCAACAGCGCCATGACGACCGATTGGCCTCGACAACATCGAGTCGGCTTGGGAAGGACAGAGAACGCCTCCGCGTCGTGTTTGTGCCGGCTTTGAGGCACTCGTTTGGACAATCGTAGAACCGTCATAGTTCGGTTTCGCTCGAGAGGCTTAGTTCGAACTCGGACTCGAAACTGTCTCCAATTTACAGGCCATAGCCTAATTCATCTGTTTCTGGCGCTAGAGTCATTTAAGGACTGATGTTGGCGTTTTTGTTACACACGTTTTCTTCTCCCGGTTCGAGTGTGATCCATTTTCGACTTTCACAACAAATCTCAAAACGATGTTCATTGTGGCCGAGTTTTGACGGGTCGCTATTATGCTCACAACTCACTTGGAATCGCTTTGGCGGCGCTGATAAAGCGAGGCTGTAGTCCAGTCTGGCCGAGATGGAGAAGTCTTTTGAGAAACACGAGCATCGTGAAGCCTACGCATCTGATTGCGGATAAGGCCTAAGCTTAGATGATCTTCGACGATACACATGGCTCGAATCCCGCTGGAGGTGCTGATAATGCCCAGGCGGAGGCAAAACTACGGTCCATCCTGGATGAGAACATCTTTTGGGAAAGGAAGGATGTGAAATTTCATGTCTACTCATATGAGTATGGGGAAAAACTACCAGTCCTTCATCACCTTAAATGAAAGAGGGTGAATACATTTCATATGGAAGTTATAGGTTGTCTTTTGAAGTAGCTATGAAAACTCGACAAATTGGCAAATAACAACTCAGATTAATTCGTCGTTATGGCCAAGCAGGATAATACTGTCGTGAAGCCGAATGCTGCTGAACCTTTCCGACTTTGGGTTGTTTGTTTAACCTTGTCTCTGCAACTCGGTCTCACTATTTTTAGGAGACGTCGAGATAAGGTTCCCGTAAATGAGCTGCATGGTGGCCTATGGTGATGACGAACTGATGGATGAATTTTCTCATAATCATATCACTTTTCCATTAACTTTCACATAGCCTAGATTGCCTAAAGATAGGGTTAGTGTTAGGGATAGGTTTATGGTTTGGGTTAGGGTTAGGATTAGGTTTGGGTTTAGGTTAGGGTTAGTGTTAGTGTTAGGGTCAAGGTTAAGGTTGCTGTTAGTGTCAGGGTTAGGCTGTGCGATTGTGTTTAGGTTTAATGTTATGGTTAGTGTTAGGGTTAGGGTTAGGTTAAGGGTTAGGGTTAGGGTTAGGGTTAGGGTTAGGGTTAGGGTTAGGGTTAGGGTTAGGGTTAGGGTTAG